GACTGCAAGCATGGCTTTCCTGCCCAAAACAGTTCCACAGATTTAGGCTGTGCGGCTGGTCTATCTTCTCCTCTATCCTGGAGATAATTGGCTTAAGTGGGTATGGTAACTTAATTATCTCCAGGTAAAGGGAATATATCCATTTACAACAAGAGGAAAAATACATAAAAATACATAATTCCTATTATACTGAACAGAACCCCCACATTCAACCTATCTCCAGATAGCTTGGATCTGAGCGCTCAATATATCCGAACAGAGCTCAGATCCCATCAACAGAATAAAATCGCCATTGGGTTAAAGTTTAGCAAGGGCTGATGAGAGACTGAGGAGGGACAAAGCAGCCAGTTTAAACTGGTCTGGCAGTGTCCCTGGGACAACGCCCTGCTGGAGAAAAAATACACAGGAAAAGGGGGAGGGGAAGAGGCACATTTTCTCATGGATTTAAAGGGGCAGAAAGTGTGTTACAGTCCAATATGCCCAAATAATATTTTTAAAGGGCACAATCTTCCAGGGCCCATAGTCACAGGGCAAGAGGCTGGCAAGCAGGCCTCTCCAGGACCAAGTGGCGAAGGGCACTTAATCACACAGTGCATGCCCCCAGAACAGTGGCATGTACAATCCCCCTTCAAACCACTGGGTGGATAGGATCCCATAGCCACAAGCATAATAATAGTGAGAGGGACAATAAAATAAATAATAACAATTAAAATTAAGTATACTTACCATCATAAGTCTTCATCTTTAAACTTTTCTGCATCCCAAAAAAGGGCAAATTTAAATCCTGAATTCCTGACGCAACTAATGAAAACTATTTATAAAAATGTCAGAGAACATAATGCAATAAAATTAATCAATCTGTCTCCCATAAGGGGTCACAGCAGACTGACCTCTCATAGTGGAGAAAGTGCTAATAAAGTCTTTCCCACACACTAAGCTATTGAGCCCTCTGACAGCCAATTCTTGAGAGATGTGATACTTCTCTCAAGATTTGACTGTCAGAAAGCACTGATTGGTTGGAAGCCAGCATATCATTGGGCCAATCAGAGCAGGAAGGTAACGGCAACCAAAAGTGACTATCACAGCACTGTAACCCCCACGGATCATCTGGGATAGAGCTTTTGTGAAAGGGGCAGCAGGTCAGTAATGATATATCAGCTTTCAATGCGCATATATATATATATATATATATATATATATATATATATGTATTGTGTATTTATACAGCAATAACATAATATGACATATAGCATTCATATCATAAATGTATTGCCTTGGCTGTTATCTCCTGTCATGATATAATGCATACGTAAGTGAACTTACAGGACCTCAATTCATTCTTCCATGACTAGTGTAACTCACTTATTCCATAACAATAATTATGGCCATGTTCTGTTTTTCCCTCAATACATCAGTTGTGAAGAGGACATGGAGAAGGCTGCCCCAAATATTCTCCCACATTGGAGCCAAGTAAAGAGCCTTCAAAAATCTTTGGATATATATCTTCTCAATTCCTGGATTTTATTGATATAGGTCTCATTTATGTAAAATAGATAAAGTGCAGCTAAATAAGATAACTATACTATGGAAAAAAAATACACAGGAAAAGGGGGAGGGGAAGAGGCTTATTTTCTCATGGATTTAAAGGGGCAGAAAAAGTGGCTGCACTTTATCTATTTTACATGAATGAGACCTATGTCAATAAAATCTAGAAACGACACTTTGGCTCCAAAGTGTGAGTGGCCAATTGGCACCTAATTATACACCATATTGGGTTACACAGTGTTGCACTATGTTGTATCATTCTTGTCTCCCCTAGCTGGATAATATCTGGTGGTAGGAGGTGAAAACTGTGCAGAATTAGTTACAGCACCAGGTGACATACAGTTTGCCCTAGTACTTTCTTATTCTGTTTCTTCCCTCAGTAATGCAGATTTGTGGCGTTTTTGTACACTCTCACTTGGTTGATTAATGCTAATGAAAATGCTGATGGTGGAGGTATGAGTGGTGCTGGTAGTGTTGATGGTAGCAATAATAGTGAGTGAGCTACTTGTGTCACTTCTAGCAGGCGCAGATTATGGTACAACTGTCTCGATTGGATTACGCAATTCCAAACCAGACAGATATAATAATATGGGGAAAAAATGGTTTTCACACTAAGACGCAGCCCTGAGTAGTGGGGATAATCAAATATATATGACATAGTCCCACTATCCTAAGGCTGAATACTTCTTATATTGGTGGTGGTGTACAGGGTGGAGGTGGGAGCAGTACTCATGGCTAAAGTGGTGTTTAGAATCTCAGGCCGTGGTACTACTGCTGATGGAGGATATCTGAACATGACCCCGTCCCCTACAAACCCACAATTGTCTCTTGGGATTGAGATGAAACATTGATGATGATTAATTACAATCAATTTGGCATATGAATTATTCTGTATTAACACAACTTTATTCTGCAAAATGTCTTGGTGCCTTGTGGATTTACTGTTGTAACACAGAGCTCACACACGTGCACAGTACACAATGGACTGAACACATTTGGAAAGGAAGAAACAAAAAGAGGATTTTCTTTCTAGAAACATGGAACAGAATAAATACCTGTCAAACTGTAAGTTAGTGGTGGTAAGAATCAGCGACTAGCAGTAGATGCAGCACTCACCTATACACCTGTCTCAATTAAACTGGCTGTCTTCTATCTCACACCAAGCTACGTACTTGCCCTCTCCCCCAAGAAATAGCAACATCATGTCCCCTTTTCTCCTGGTGCCCATAATGGAAGGCCAAATCATGTATCAAAACATTGATTTTTGTGATTGCACAATTCGTTTTCTTGTAGTTCATCAATAGACCGATTAGAAGTCACCCGATCCGTCAAGATTTGGACAAAAGTCTAGTATAAACGTATTTATGTTAAAAAAAAATCTAATAACATCTATATGGTTTTTAATTCCAACAGTCACCAAAAGAACTAATCCTGTCTGCATCTTTGGTAAGAGGTGAGGTTAAAGATTTATACAATTATTAAATTAATGAGACATTAAATAATATATTGACTTTAATTTGCTAAGTACTGGAAAGTTCCAACAGACAGGATCTTAGATTCCACCATTTACCTGGGGATCCTGGTTATCAGGCAGGCAATAGATCTTTCTCTCTACTTGTATTAAGGTCTTTTTGGGAGTGGGCCTTTGAGTGGCAGCGTTCTACCTAGATACTCACTTGTGTTGTATCCACCTTTTCTATTGTATAGACCAGGGATAGGCAACCTTCGGCACTCCAGATGTTGTGGACTACATCCCCCATAATGCTCTTGCACCAGTAATGCTGGCAAAGCATTATGGGAGGTGTTGTCCAAAACATCTGGAGTATCAAAGGTTGCTTATGCCTGGTATAGACAATAGATTGTGAGTGTAGTAAAGTCACTTGTCAATTATAAAATACAGGTGTCCCACCTCACTGTGGCTCCTACAGTGACAAAGGCAGACTAAATATTTGGGAAAGGAGGGTAGAGCAACCAAAGGTTTGTGCAAGAAGTGCTACTGCATTTTATTGAAGAACAAGCATCTATACAGACGTTTTTCAATGCATCTTGTCATCATACCTCGAAGATTCAAGATGCATTGAAAAAGAGCTATGCCCAAAACATCCGTATAGATGCTTGTACTTTAATGAAATTCTGTAGCACTTGTTGGACAGACCTTTGGTTGCCACTTTCCTCCTTTTCCAAATATTTAGTTTGACATAGTCCATCATTGTAATATAAGTTATTATTGTATCATAATGCATCATTATAACATAGTCCATCATTGTAACACAGTCCATCATTGTGACATAATCCATCGAGATACACCTTGACTATATCGTTTCTGCCATTACTATGAAATCTTTCCCTTGCTTAAATATATGATCATGTTAAGTTTGAGTAAACGCGTTTCGGCTTGGTAGCCTTCTTCCAGTGCTGTTCCTCAAGTCCTCGTGGCTTGTTTTAAATACATCCGGCATTTTCAATCACCTGTGTGTCGTTTTTCTTCCGCATGCGTCACTTCCGGTATTTTCGGACGATGTCACTTCCGGTTTCGTCAGTTGGAACGCATAATGGAACGCATATAGCGTTCCTTAATTTCCGGTATCGGAAAGAGACTTACGGTTTCATAAAAGGGCTCATAGTAAGAAGAGAAAAATATGTATGAATAAAATAGCAAACAACTATGAAGCCACAGAGTAATACATGAAATATTTGGCTAATCATATATTTATTGCTTATCCTTAACATATATCTATATACTTATATAGATATATGTTAAGGATAAGCAATAAATATATGATTAGCCAAATATTAGCCAAATATTTCATGTATTACTCTGTGGCTTCATAGTTGTTTGCTATTTTATTCATACATATTTTTCTCTTCTTACTATGAGCCCTTTTATGAAACCGTAAGTCTCTTTCCGATACCGGAAATTAAGGAACGCTATATGCGTTCCATTATGCGTTCCAACTGACGAAACCGGAAGTGACATCGTCCGAAAATACCGGAAGTGACGCATGCGGAAGAAAAACGACACACAGGTGATTGAAAATGCCGGATGTATTTAAAACAAGCCACGAGGACTTGAGGAACAGCACTGGAAGAAGGCTACCAAGCCGAAACGCGTTTGCTGCTATTTATTGTGGCTATTTACTATTTGTATTGCTATTTTTATACTTTCTTATACTACTCCATTGGTTACTTTGGTTAGGGTAAGTGGATACCTCTTTTATACATATTATCTGTTATTGGGTTCCACCCCCTCAAAACCAGGAGTTTGTTTATTACTATTTTTTATAAATAAATATCCTTTTTTACTTCGGAATTTTCTTCATTCATTATCCGGAATCCTGTTAGCCTGAATTGGCACCTGTGAGCCTGCTATACAGAGCCTGGTACGGCTCTGGTAAATGTGAGTGGTTGTCCATCTCTTTTTTCTATATACATTTGTAATATACAGTATACACTATGTTATGTTCTGTATTTATATTTTGTAGATAACACTCTGCCATACTTCAACGTACAGGTTGTATTTTATGGTTGTTCTCCACCACTTCACTTGTTTTTGGGCTGATTCTATTTTATGTGGTTTTGATATATATTCCTTTTCTTTTTATATTTACTCTAATCTAGTGTCTGGGAAACACTGTTATATCAACCACTTTTATTATATTTCCAATTTTGTGAAGCGCCTACCCACTATCTCTTATTTTCTTAAACTATTTTATGAAGATTTTTTACATTATAGAATCTATTACTGTAACAGAATGGACCCTGCTACCGTATTTTCTACCGGCTCCAGGCTGTCTGTACCCCTATTCCCCCTCCTCATTGTCCCCTGTTGTTTTGCAGCTCATGGAGGAGGTCTCTCTGGCTTCTGGATTTGGATCATCTTCACCGAACTCACTCTCGTCCATCACTGGGTTTAGGAAAATATCTCAAACTGCAAAAAAAAAACAAATTATTAACATAAATCAACCAATTGATTTCCATAAACAATTCAAATCATTTCCTTAATCGACTAAATTATTTACATAAATTGATACATAAACCACAAAATGCAGCTATTGACCCATCTAACTTCCAAACATTCTGCCCAATGTCTGAGTACATTCAGATCAGTATTTATTAGAATCTGACTGCATGATTGCAATGTGTTTTTCTTTTTAATAATTTACATTATAAATAATTAGTGTTTGTTGTTTTAGTGTTTTGTAATTTTACAAAAATCCAAAAGTAAAAAAAAAAAAAATAAATAAATAAATAAATAAATATATATATATGTATATAAATGAATAAATATATGTGTTATCTTTGTGATTTCATATCAATGCAGTGGCATGTTGTTATTGTTTGAAATTTTATAACATTTCTGTTGTGTTGGTAAATCGGGTCACTAATGTGAATTAAAGCTACAGTGAATGCTCAATAATGTACACCACAGGTTCCACACACAAGAGTTGAATTTGCAGATAATGTAAACCACAGGTTGAATAATCAGGTTGTTTGTGCACTAGGAGATAGTCAAAGAAGACTGCTTTTCTTCTATATGAAAAACACAAATGTCTTATATACAGTTAAACAGCACAGCTTGCGTGCCTGGAAGAGCAAATAATCCGTATCAGTATCTGATGATCAGTATCTTTATGTATGCAGTAAAAACACTGCACCCTGTAATTAGTTGCCTCTAAACCTACTCATCCTGTTCAGTTCAGTCAGTTCAATCTACTTCTGAATCAATTACTTCTGACCATTCACCCGACTCTACCTGTTTCCATCATTATCTACTTAGAGCAAAATAAACATGTCCACACGTCCACACTTAGCCATTCAGACACACAAAGTCACACAGAGGGTAAACATGGCTGATATAAGAATAAGACGGCTTCTGGGGAGTGAAGGCACTTTCTCAACATTCGCCCTACTAGGACGTTCTAACATTTGCAGATTTATTCACTAATGTGAGAAATCAAAGTGAATTTCAAATTTAAGGTCAGAATAGTTCAACTGGAAAGATTTGACTATAATTTCCAGTTTGGCTACTCTGGCCTTAAATTTGAAGTTTGTTAACATGGCACTGTAATGCATACATTTAAGAAGTACTTGATCACATGAACCCGGAAGCTGTCACTGGAATGCATCGAGAGCTGCAGTGACACCCAACTAGTCAGACCGTACAGATGGAAAATCTTCAAGCCGGTACGGGAGACAGTTGGTGGAAAGGGTGTCGGTGGAATAGAGGATTTGGATTGTCACAAGTAGACCCTCCAGAGAAGGCAAG